TCAATCTCACGTTGCAGATTTGGTGAGTGGTGCCGCGAGCGCCTTACTGGCGGCCAAGTTGAGTCAAAAGGAAGGAAGAATGCAACGCCGCCAAAAAAAAAAGTTTAATTAGACGTTCTGTTGTTTCCTTGTCTTTTTTCCCCCTTTCTGACCTTTGAAGTTGCATTTCTGTCACTTTTTAAACCGAAAGTTCAGATCTTAATAAGAAAGACAGACAAAACGGAAAAAACTCAGAAATAACTCAAGCGCATTTCGTAATCATTTGCCGCAGATCCCAAGCCCGGCCACACGGCTTCCCCCATCGTACCGGGGTTGACCACCCCATAGCCGTAGACACTATAGCGATCCGATTTTTATGCAGCGGCTGCACCGAACCTGATTCCATACCATACGGCGGAGGAGGCAGTCGAGCCGCTCGTCTCAAAGCTGGTCCAGCATCTCACGCCCAGTCAGTAACCCGAGCTAGTCACCTTGCCTCGGTGACCTGTCGCAACGCTCGCCATCAGAGCTTCCGAATGCCGAATATCCAAGATCCCCTTGTCCAGGTGTAATCAAGGTCCGTCGTTTACAACCGTCGTAGCCCAACCGCCGCTGAAGGTCAAAGCTCACGCCCCCTTCAGGCCCCTTCATTTACGGTCCCCCAAAGTCCACCCCAAAGTCCACCATCAGCCCCTGTTTTCCGAGCCCGACATCAAAACTCCGACTTTTGGAGTCCGCGCGACCCCGCCTGAGGCTACCGCCCTGGCCGTCTCCCCTGCTGACGTGAAGGTTAGTGCGGGGCTAAGATCCCCTCGACTTTCCCCAAAAGTCCCCAGCCAAATGCATTCACCCATCCAAATCACACACAAAAAATCAATCAGCCAATGCAGATTCCTCCCCTTTCCTTTTGAGAAGAGTGTTCGGCTGGTAGACAGCCCGCCTGACACGTGTATGGGTTTCCTCCAAGGAGTTCGCACTCGAACAAGACGTCTCGCGCAAGCTTCTTCCGAAGTGGTTTGGACCATGGACCGTCATATCAGCTGCGGGCAACAAGCCCGATGGCCCATCGTTCGTGATTGAGATCCCGCTGCATCTACCTGTCCTCTGATCTTCCACACCTCCAACGTGGCTACGTACACACCAGCCAAGAGCGACGACTTCCCGGGCCGGCGATGGCAAGACCCTCCATCCATGGATAGTCACTAGGAGATTGATCGCATTGTCACGCATTGCAAGTACGGCAACAAGCCAATGCAGTTCAAGGTTACGTTCAAGCAATGCGACCGTGACAACACACGATGGATCTCACGAGCAGAGTTACAAGCCTCGGCCCTGCTCATCTTTGCCAACTACGAGAAGCGACGATTAGCGAAAGAGGCTTCACAACCTGCCCCTCCCACCTGGACTTTGGTCACTCCCTCCGATAGACAGCTTCGCCCTCGCAGGTAGGCTCAGTCGTTCAAGGAGGGGGGGTTGTGGCATACTCAGCTCCACACGGGCCCTGCAGGGCCCAACAGTAGGGTTAGGGGTTTCTTAGGGGTTAGGATCTGTGTTATTTCGGCCATGTTAGGCCTCGTAGGACCTAGTAGGCCACTGATTCGTCTTGGCATCTTTTCGCCAGCTTCCTACTTTTGGCATCTTTCGCCATACCTGCTTTTGGGCGCCAGACCGTTTCGTATTTTCGCCAGGTTCCTCCTTTTGGCATCTTTTGCCATACTCCTGTTTGTTTGGGCGCCAGACCTTTTCGTATTTTTATCAGGTTCCTTTTTTTTTTCTTTTTTTTTTTAACCAAGGCCCTTGTAAAAGGCCTCTATCCCAGTGGTGGTAAGAGAACCACCGGGATTGAGGCTTTGTCAACAGGCCGCTCCATCTATTGGTGGGGAGCATCACCTACTGGAAACTGGGTCCAGCATCCCTTGAATACATCTTTTTGAAGTGAGACATGAATCTCCAAGTCTGAGTAATGTTGCTCCGTGTGACAACAATCCCTGCCAGCATTGATTACCCTGGGTTACAGGGGATTGACTGAGCAGGGCCGGAGGTGGCCGGGAGGGGGGCCACTGCCTTGGGTCCGGGGGGCACCGGTCCTTATGGCATTTGGCCACCCCACCCCCCCTCCCTGGTACTGGTTCCTTTGGCGCCAGACCAGATTCCGGAACTTGGCGCCAGACCAGTTTTCCTTTTGCCAGAATGTTTCCTCTCGCCCTAGGACACTAGGTCCAGCATTATATATAGCTGGGCCAGCCTCATTCTAGGCAGGTAGTGCTAGGTACTTCTCAAAGGTAGTTCTGAGGTAGTAGTGAGCAGTCTTCAGTAGTTGATGCATTGGGCGCAGTTTGAGTAGTCTACAACGCTGGGTGCGAGCTAGGAGTGGGAGCGCTGCCACGAGCTAAGAGTGGGAGCGCTGCTGCTGCACTGCAGCGAGAGAGAGTGAGAGATGGGCGGAGGCCAGGAGGACTTACCCGTGACGCCATAGCTCCAGCTTCGTTTTCGGGACGTCCACACCTGCATCAAGGCGGCACCTTTCTGCAGGTTAGTACTTGGCATAGATGCAGTGAGAGAGAGAGAGAGAGAGAGAGAGAGAGATTGCTTCTCTTTCTTCTTTCCCTCTGTCTGATCTCCATCACCCCTCCTCTTTCCTCCGGGACTTCTTCTTCTCCTTCTGCTGAGAGAGAGAGAGAGAGAGAGAGAGAGAGAGAGAGAGAGAGAGAGAGAGTTGACATTGAGACTTGGTGACATTCGGGCATTGCCCAATTCGGTGACACTGCGATTTGACATTATACGAGCAGCAACATTGGGGATATTTTGGAGACTGGGTTCATTAGGCTATGGTGACTGATCCTACCTATCTCCCTCCCCCCTTCGTCTCTTCTCCCTCCTTTTTGTCCATGGATGGTCCGGACTCAGGCCACTCACAAGAGTGATGATGAGTGCTGTGAGGTCTTGTCATTGTCCCTGCTGAGTCAGATCTTGGTATTTCAGTTGTCTGCTGTGCTACTTGTGTATTGTCTCTGAGAGGTCGGTTCCCGGTTCTGATTGATGTCGATTAGGCATGCGACACCGCCCTCTTTCTTCACTGAACCTCCTGTCGAGTTCCGCCCACTATCCGCTCCAATTCCTTCCAACTTCTCTATCCCCGCCATGCGCCCTCCCTACGCTAAACCTTCTCCCTCCTTACGCCTCACCCCCTCCCTTCTTTTGCACGACCTCTGCCACTACTCTCACTCGCACTTGATCTTTGGTTTTGCAGCTTTTTTTCTTTTTGTAATGACCCGCCATAACACAGACTGAGAACACTGCCGATTTCTATCGATCTCATGACAAACGCATCACAAGCAAAGAGATTTCGAGATTATTCTGTCGCAGTGAGCTTTGGAGAGATTTTGGGTCAGCATTAGAGGCGATTTGTCGCTCATAGGCATTAACAACGCGAGGTGCGCTGCGCAGCAGTTCCTTCTTGGAGATCCAGTAGAGATCGTCCAATGGGTGATACATAAAGTGAACCTGGTACTGTCTGTTACTTCCCTTCCCTACGTGCTGTTTGATTCTATCGATCTCATGACCGCCATTGATCGCACGAGGAATCATGTCTTCATGGTAATCGAAGGACTTAGCATCACGGTGGATATACAATTTTAATGCATGAAAGACAGGGTATGTGCGCAGATGAGGCGGCACAACAACTGTGTATGAGGGGCCGAAACCATCCTTGCCAATCACATCCTGAATTTCCCACGAACCATAATAGAGCGGAAGAAGTTTGCGTGATACTCCCTCTTCTTCTGAGACATCTTGACCCAAACATAACTTCCCACTTCAATATCCGAAGGTCAGCGCTTCTTGTTTGCATGATGGATCATTGCGTGTTGTCGTTTGGTCATTGCTACGATGACAACTTTGAGCAAGCGATCGTACTTGGCCCTGAAGCCAGGCTTGCCAGGTGTTAAACCAGCTGGTTGTTTAGGGAATAGGTAGGAGAGCGGATTACGAATCTTCCAACCGTAGTACAGCCTGTTTGGCGTCATGCCAGTGGAAGAATGGATGGAGTTGTTGTACAACCCCTTGACGGAATACAGCACTTCATCCCACATTTCCTGATCCGGAATGATGAAAGCGCGGAGAAGTTGGAACACAGTCTGGTTGATTTCCTAAGCCAAACCGTTGGATTTGGGATGTCGGCTAGATGTCATGCATAATCTGAGGTCAGGGAGTTGAGATGTCAAGTCCTTCCATTCGGTACTAATGAAGTGCGGGTCCCGATCACTCACAAAAGTTTTCGAGGTTCCGAACTGCAGAATGTACTTTTGTTCGAACTCACGAATCACCAATTCAGTTGGGGCATGAGATGGCAAGGGAATCAGACTGAGAAATTTAGAGAAGCGGTCAACAATCACCATCACTTGCGAATAGTCGTTCTTACTTACCTTTTCCATGTCGGTGAAGTCGATAGAGACAGACTCCCCAGGACCATCGGGAATGGGAAGGGGTGTAAGTAGCCCCATGGGCTTTTGTCTACATGGTTTGATACGTTGACAAACTTGACACTCAGCCAAAAACTTTTCAGCACATCCCTTCATACCAGGCCAATCAAACTGTCTCAATAGGTTATCGTACGTCTTTTCCATGCCGAAGTGTCCACTCCGGCCATGAGCCAAGTCCAAGAAGTCTGTGCGGAGAGGCTCATGGTTGGGCACACACAAACGGTCGTTATTCCTATAGCGTCGGAAAACCAGTCCTCCGTATTCGTGAAAATCAGGCTGACTGCTGGGGTCAGCCCGCAACTGCTCAAGGATGGGACTATAGTCCGGGTCCTTGGCAGTGTGTTCTACGATCTCCTCCTTCAATTTCTTCCGGAGGTCGTAGGAATTCACAAGGCAAGTCATGTACTCAGGGTGCGAGACAACACATCAGCAACTCGATTACAACAACCCTTTTCGTGTTCTAGTTCAAAATCAGAAATGTCGATCTCATGGAACCAGCGAAGTAATGTAGGGGACAAGGTGGTTTGATATTTGATTCACTTCAGAGTCTCATAATCTGATAACACTTTGAACTGGCGTCCTAAAAGATAGTGCTTCCAATGATCCAAAGCCATACGCAAAGCATAGAGCTCGCGCATGTAGGTGGAAGTAGTTACCTTTTCGCTAGGCATACGTTTGCTGTAGTACTCGAGCCGCAAGCCATCGCCACCATCTTGTTGCAGCACTGCGCCAATCCCATACTGGCTCGCATCCGTAGTGACTACGAATGTTAGTTTGGAATTTGCAATGCGGAGTACAGGGTAACTTACCAAGGCCTCTTTCAAGGCTTGGAATGCAGTCTCACATGTTGCATCCCACGTGTAAGGTACATTCTTACTTGTCAATCGGGACAACGGGCGAGCAACAATAGAGAATCGAGGCACAAACTTCCCATAGTAAGATGCGAGACCAAGGAAAGAATGCAGTTCGCGGATGTTCGCGGGTTGAGGCCAGTTGCGTATGACCTCAACCTTGGTTGCCTCAGGCTCGAGGCCTGCAGCAGATAATCGATGCCCAAGATAGATGACGCTATCCCTCTCAAACTCATATTTCTCTAAATTGAGATGGAGTTGCGTTTTCTTGAGGATGGTGAACACTTCCTCAAGGTGCTTTATGTGTTCCTCGATGGATTTACTGAAGATTAGAATATCATCGAGGTACAGCACCACAAACCGACCAATCTGTTCGCGAAGGATCTTGTCCATAAGGCTTTGAAAGGTGGTCGGTGCGTTCGTGAGACCGAAGGGCATTACGGTAAATTCGTAAAGCCCATCGCGTGTCTTGAACGCATTCTTGTGCTGGTCCGCAGGACCGACTTCAATTTGGTGGTATCGAAACTTGAGATCGATCTTGGAGAAAACCTTGCACCCACCTGCAGGATCAAGCAAGTCATCTATGCGTGGTAGTGGGTATACATTTTTTCTTGTGATACGGTTTAGACCGCGATAATCAATACACATGCGGAGCTTGCCTCCTTTCTTTGGAACAAACAAAACAAGTACAAGCAAGTCATCTATGCGTGGCAATGGGTATGCATTCTTTCTTGGGATGCGGTTTAGACCACAATAATCAATACACATGCGGAGCTTGCCTCCTTTCTATGGAACAAACAAAATAGGTACACCAAATTCAGATTCACTAGGCTTGATCCAACCCTTGTCGACCCATTCTGTATACGCAACCCTTTGTAGGAACAACACCTTCGACAAACTCAATTGTGTGTCAGTCCGATCGCGTGGGAACTCCACGTGGTTCGGCCAGAGCTTTCGAGAATCGGTCAAGTAGGTTTTGAATGCTTGTTGGGACCGGTGGCGGCGAAGGATCAGCAAAAGGGTCACCTAAATCAGGTCACAGATTGTGAATGGAGGCGACCAAATTTGAAGTAGAGTCATTTGGACTAGTAGAAGGTAGAGAAGTAGAAGTGATAGAAGTAGACTTATTAGATGAGATAGTATTGGTACTAGCAATAAAAATAGATGGCACATGAGTAGGGCGAACGAAGACAACATACAATTGTTCATCCTCTTTGTGCTTGCACCACTTCTTGCAAAACTGCATGGCATTGAGAAAAGTCATTGGGGACTCGTGTTTCTCATCCAAGAGGACGGGAAGCTCGTTCCCTTGAGCATTTTTTACCATGCAAAGTGGCTCCTTCCATTTGGTCTCGCATTAGGACTGCAGCCAGCCCAAGCCAAGGACTGCATCGAAAGGACACTTGTCAAGGACATAGAAGTTCAATGCGTGGGTGACTATCTTGTCCTTGTCAAAGGTAGTGCGCACACCTTTGACCGTATGCGTAGATGAAACAACCTCTTTGTTGCCTACTTGAGTCCGGCAAGGGTTCTGCAAAACCACTTGCTTCATTCCCAAACCCACTTTGCGTATCCCGTGTGGTGACATGAACGTAGCACCACAATCAATCAAAACACGGAGATAGCGATGGTCTATGAGAAGTTTGATGAAGATTAACTTCACTGTCCCTTGAGCACGCCGATGTTTCGTCTCATCTCAATGCTCTAAGTGATAGTGAAAGTCGACCGTCTCAGACTCCTCCCAAGGCTCAACATACAAAGCATGACAAACTTCAGCCTTGGAATCAACAGACGATGGGGCTTCAAGAGTGGACTATTGAATTGCAACAAGTTCAGTCTCCCTTGCCGTAGAGGGTGTTGATGTCAACTCTACGCCCGACTCTGGTTTCCCTACAGCCTATAGCAATCTTGCATTTTATGGTCCGTTTTCAGGCAATGCAGACAACCCCCTTCCTTCATTTTAGCCTTCCATTCAGCCGCACTGATCCAGAGGTCCAACCAAGGTTTAGTACTTGCATCCTCCGGTTTGGCTGGGATTTTGGCTCCCTTTGGACGTGCAACAAAGCTCCTTACTGAATTTCAGTTTTGGTTTCCCTTACCATGGGCAGTGTTTTTAAAGGCACTGAATTTCTCATCTTCATTGTTCATATCAGATTCTTGAGTTGAAGAGCTGGCTGTATCAACATCATGTTCTTGGTCGTCGCCAAGAGTGGGGTCATCAACTTTGGCCTCCACTTCCCCTTCCAGCAAGTCAAGCGCTGCTAGTCGATTGCTGCCACAAAACCGCTCGCGAACAAAAGTATTTTTGTTGTTTGCTGCGGTAAGGTCTCCTGCCTCCAAACTGACTGCATCCTTCATTAAGGAAAACCAGTCAGTGTACCCAAAGAATTCTTTGCCCAGGCGATTGGTTAAGTGAGTGGGAACCATACCTTTAACTACATCCAAACACGATTGCGCAGTCAGCTCCAATCCTAGCATTGCAAAGAGCTTGTTGACATGCAGTTGCAATTTGTGCATGGTGCCCTGCCACTTGCTGCGCTTAAGCTCATCAAGTTGTATCCTTACTCTCGTTGCAGCATGCGGGTCTTTATATTGCACTACTAATATATCCTCGAGAGTGGTAACCAGAGTGACTTTAAGCCACTCTGATAGTTTGATCTTGGAATACCCAGCTTGCATAGCTTGGACTTCAAGGAAGCCCCTTACGACAGGCTCGACGTTCGTCCCTAGGATCAAGGATTGGTTCACTCTTTGAGTGGCCTGTACCTCGAAGTAGGGTCTCATGGAGTTGATCCAGGACTCTACGTCCTCCTTGCCATCATACCTAGACGGTATCGTCACCGCCTTCTTGTCCATGTATGGACTGCTATAGTTGGGCCCAGTTATTGCTGGATCCGATCCCAGGGCTGCGGAAGTTGCGGAACTTCTTGCACTGGGAACTGCACCTGTCGCAGGTCCTGGTTGATTAACCACCAAACTCAACGAAGAAGAGTGAGAAGAAGGAGAAGAGTGGAGAGGTGCAAAGGTAGAATGGGGAAGGGAACTTGAGGTTTGGGCCTGATGCATGCTTGTCATTTGCTGTAACTGATCGCGATGCTCTCTGACCATCTCAGCCATCTAAGTACGCATCTGACTCATGTCTTCGAGTAGTTGGGATTTCACACTCGGGATTTCGCTGAGCAAATGGTAATTTACAAGCGCACGTACGTACATAACCAGATCTTTCTTAAGGTCTGCATCAGATATGTTGGGAATGGTTTTGAAGGTAGCCGCAAGTTCGTCAACGGCTGTTTTCCGTTTTGCCTCTTCCGCCTTTTCCTCCTCATCCAATTCTTTCAAATAGAGGGCGTCATACAACGGTTTATCAGCCTCATCCGCTGCATCCATACGAGCCTTTAAAATATCAGAAAGCTTAGTCAGTGCCATGTCGGAACCACTAGCTCCTTCAGTTGCCATGGCCTCTCTTGTTCTTCTCTCTTGTTCGCACGTCTCTACAGGCACGTAGTGGATTTCAGCAAAAGAAACAAACAGAAAGTACAGAGNAGTTGCCATGGCCTCTCTTGTTCTTCTCTCTTGTTCGCACGTCTCTACAGGCACGTAGTGGATTTCAGCAAAAGAAACAAACAGAAAGTACAGAGGAGAAGGTAGAGCTCCTAGCCAAAGTGGCAAATATTTGGACTAGAGAGCAACTAACAAAAAAATAAAAATAAAAATGAATTCTGAAGAGAGTTCTGACTCTGTGTTTTAATCCGGTCAGACCAAGTTCGGGATCCCCTCGAGNGCAACTAACAAAAAAATAAAAATAAAAATGAATTCTGAAGAGAGTTCTGACTCTGTGTTTTAATCCGGTCAGACCAAGTTCGGGATCCCCTCGAGCCTAATCCAATCGACACCGTCAAAGTACAGCAAATCAGACTACAGGTAACATCATACAACAATGGAAAATTGAGTGTTGTACAAGGTGCAGGTCACGCATTGGATTGTGTGTCATCAGTCTGACAAAGCATCTCAGCCGAGATCCCCTTGACAGCGAGGGCTTTAATAAAAAAAAAGAGAAACGTATCCCAGACAGAAAAGACAGCGACACTGCATCAACGGATTTGGGTCCAAGGTGCCCTTCTTGTTTGAGCCTGGTCCCACTGTGTCCCAATGGGTCCCAAGTAGGTCCCGTCCAAGTCCCAAACAAGGAGAGTACCTCAAGGTCCTACTTTTGTCTCTACCGTACTAAAAAACGAATTTCAACTTCAAGAGAGAACCTACACAGATGAAAAGACAAAGCACTGTAGAAAGATGTGGCTTTTCAAAGCAAGATACTACATTTTTACATCCATCAGGTTAGTAAGTAGTTTGCACACAAATGCACACAACCAAGACTTCAGAGGAGTAGGAAAGAAGTCGAGAAGTACCCTAGCAAGACAAACAATACCATGCACGCGTACATGGGCAACCCTTAGGTGCACGACACTTACCTGAGTGGCCCGAACTCCGAGATGAATTATAACTCACCCCCCTTCCTCATGTGGTCTTCCTAACCCTACTCGCTACCTTTACTCTAGTATCCTATCATGTAGGAGGGACTTCCAACACCAAAGTGCAACGCCGGATCCCCCGTCGATGCTGAAGAACAAAGTAGTAACTTGCAGTCCGTAGATGCAGAATGGCTACCTCCCTCAAGATCGCCTACTTGAGGGAGGCCCTCAAGTCACCAAGTGTCTCCCTTAGGTCAGATTCCAGGTGCGAGTGCCTCTCACTGTCGCCTCTCTCAACTTGTCGCATGAAGTCCTCTTGATGTGTCTCGCCACCACATACTTACTCTCAATCAACCTGTTCAGGTTCAATGTCGAACCAACTTGACCTAACCAGGTGGGGGCAGCTTCCCTAACCCACGCTGCCCCACTTCCCACTTCGGACCAACCCTAACCCGAAGTGGTTAGTCCTAACCACTTAGGTTAGGGTTAGGGTGGATAAGTCAACTCTCACCAGCAAGTAGAATCCGCTCTGATACCAATGTTATGATCCTGGCCAATTTCGAAGTACACATTCATCAGATAGTACAATGCCGTCCAATTGCAAAAAAAAATGAATGAACTTGAGAGGAGAGAGAGGGTAAGAAGAAGAAAAAAAAGAAAGAGAGAAGAAGAAGATGAAGTACACCAGCATAGACAAATGATAATGCTCTTCTTCTTCGCCAAACACTCTCCTCCTCCTTATCTCCTCTGCTCTTATTCACACAAGAAATAATAATACAATGTTGAATGGCTGAACCAGAATCAATGTTTGAATCCCTCTTCTACTGCAGGTATCACTTGAGGTTCACCATAGCCATGGCCGCCTCTCCCACTCTTCACTCGCATAGGCCGAGGCTATGGCGGACTACTAGGCCTTGCCTTGATGTCCAAAGGACAACCCAAAGCAGCTATGGCTGCTCTAGCTCAGGCTGTCATGCCTAGCTCTGCCTTGAAGCTTCTTGGTGTAGCTCTGCCCCAATGGGGACCTTCCTGTTGCAGCGCCCACCAAGGTGATGTAGATGGCTGCCACCATAGCCAGGTAAATAACTTTGGCGCTCCCCCTTCCTCCTGATCTTCTTCCTCCTCCGTGTCCTTGCTCCTTCCCCAGCAGCGCTGCTCCAGCCAGCACTCCAACCAGTGTGTCGCCAAACTTGCACACCGACAATGAGGTTGGGCTCTTCGCCCCGCCTGGAGATATAGCGGCCTGCTTGCCTCTTGGGCAATGACTTCCAGGCCGCTCGGCCTTCCAAGCAACTGGTACCTCCTCCCTTTAGGAGGGAAACATCATTGCAGACTCTGATATTGCCCGTATAGGCCCTAGACTCGGACTGGTTGGACTGGTACTTGCCTAGACCTAGCCTACAACTACTGGGCCTCTAAAAATGCCAACTTTTGTCTTCTTCTGCTCGGCCTCGAGTACCCGGCACATCTACCTCTTCAGGGTGTGGTACCGGCCTACCTGCTACTTGAGTGTTTCCCCGCTGCTTCAAGTGTTGCGGGCCTCTTCCCCTGCCACTTGAGTGTTTTCCCCCGCTGCAATCCTCAATGTCACGGCCACAGGTAAGTACCGGCCCTGAGGGCCCAACGAACGAACAAGTGCCCTTGCGGGTCACACACACACTCAAGCCAACAAGCACTCAGACAGACATGCAGACCAGCAAGCGTGCACACACACAGACTTAGAGAACTTAGTAGCAAGCCGGAAACTCAGCAAGGCATTCAGTCCATGAGCAAAACTCAGAAATCAGCTGTGTGTCTCAGTCCGTGTTGGTCGTGTCATCACACTAGCCATAATGTGAGGCTGTGCTTTTTTTGTTTTACATGGAACGCCTTGGTGAAGTGCATCCTCTCTCTCTCTCTCAGTGGTGTTGTGTCTTGAAGACGTGGAGAGTTCCATTCACTCTCGGCCCAGAAAGGAAATACGTGAGTCTGAGCAGCGTGGCGAAGTGCACCTTCTCCTTCTCTCCCTTTTTCTCTATTTCTCTATCTTTCTCTCTCGCTCCTTCACTCTCTATCTCTCTCCTTCCCCCCCCTCACAGTGGTGTTGTGCTTGACTAGGTGATCCATTCACACTCAACACAAAAAGGAAATAGACGGGTTCAAACAGCGAATTGCACCCTGTCTTTCTCTCTCCCTCCCTCCCTCCCAACATCCATCTATCCCTTCATTAAGGGCTTCATCTCAATTTTTTGGTGGGTGCTATGTTGCAAGCGGGGCAGAATTTGTGCACGCCCACTATCAGAAGGGATGGGCGGAGATCATGCCGCAAATTGCGGAGAGGGCGGAGGAGAAGAAACACTAGGGGTCATCAGCTGCTTGATCAAGTAGGGAGGAGAGGGTGAGAGGCATGGCCGAGAATGGAGGAACAGTGAGAGGAGAAGGTTGCCACTGAGGGGTTGGACAACCAGGAGGTGCCATAGGTGGAGAGGGTGGATGGAGGTGGAGGGTCAGGATGCGGGATCAGGATGATGAGAGCGTCGGAATTTGGTCACTTAGGAGTGGGGATGTGGCGACGGAGGAAGCACAAGAAGAGTCCCCGGGATAGGGTGAAACGTGAATGTGAGATTGCTGACATCAAGGAGGTTGTGGAGGGGGAAGACGTCAAGGAGGATCCAGAAGTACATGGGAGAAGGATGTAGGTTGGGGAGCCAGTTTTTGGAAAAGGCGATGGGCAGCTAGGAATGGAAGGGGGAGGATCAAGATGCGCAGAGAAGGTCCGAATGTTAGCCAATCAGGGTGAGGATGTAGGAACTGATGAAGCACGGGAGAAAGAATGCGAACGAAACAGGGTAAGGGAAGCAGGTCGTGGAGGGGGATTCGGGTAAGAAAAGGCGAGGTAAGGATAATGAGGAAGGGCCTGAATCATAAGAGGGAGAGGCTGAATGTAGATACACGGAAAAGAAGAAAGAAAGAGCGGCAGACAGGGGAAGAGAGGAAAAGGAATACCAGAACCTCAGGGTCCACATCGAGTATTGGAGTAGTCTGAGCTTGAAGAGGATCCCAACGGAGAAAGAAGGTCCAGGCAAATGAATAGAGACCACGAAATGACGCAAGGCCGAGTGAGGTTGAACGAGGACGGACGGGAAGGCAACACTGTCCCCAGCCCGACAAAAGGCAACAGGGAAGATGGGCGAGCAGAAGATCTGACGACCGCAACCCACTCTTGGATGTTCGAGGAGGCAAGGCGTTAGGAAACGAAAGTGTCAATGCAACCCAAAGGCTGCACTTGGCTTGTCCAGAGGGGTTTGTCTCCTCATTTAGTGACGGGTTTCCGAAGAAAGAAGGTAACTGGGAGGCACCAGTCACATGACAAGGAGAGAACAGTACAGGGAAAAGCGGATTGGTGGAAGGAAGCTTGGGAGGGGGACTGGAGGGCACAAACTGAAAGATGGAATCGAATAGGGGGGAGAGAGAGAGAGAGAGAATCTTCCACCTCCTCTTAATCGTCCTACTCAACCCGTTCTCCTCCTTAACCCTTGCTCCTCGTCAGGCCTCCTCAACCCTTGCTCCTCGTCCGGCCTCCTCCCTCATCACTCTCCTCCTCATCATCGCCACCTTGGTCGTTTGTCACTTGCGCCACGTGTTGTTGTTCTATTTTCCTTTGTTTTCAAAATCCGCACGCGAGAGCTCACTTGCGCGCGAGAGAGA